CTGGATAATCTGCCCTCTTAGTGCAACAGTTGCCTCCAGCTCACCAAAGGAAGTGTTTTGCAAGTGTCTCTGGTGCGATGCAGTGACTTCTTAGCAGACTGAGGCCCAGGACAGGTGCTTGCTGCGTAAGAGAAGCTGCTGAAGGTACTGAGCTGGCAGAAAGAAGGAGGGAGCAAGTTTGTGAAGCAGACAGAAAAATCAGCGAAGTAATCTAAAGGAAAGCTTTGCTGTGGGAACCGGCTGACAGTCAGCTGGGGTAGGGTCCAGGCAGAGCTGCTGGCACCCGGCCAGCTGCTGCCAGTCACAGAGCAGTGACGGGAGACAGCAAGTAGCAAAAGCGCACTGAAGTCCCCCCTGCTGACAGGCCGCCCTTAGCACAGTTACCCACTGTAAGCCAATAAACCATAGTTGGAGCAAACGCCATGGACAGAGCTGGGGGAATTTCTTGGAAGCCCCGGTCCTAAAGTCTGTTACTTTGAAATTAGTAATTAGGCTTCAAAACGTGTCGAAAGCTTGAGTTGACTGAATGCGTCAGCCCATATACACTCTGATGTGCCGTGGGTCGAAGCCTCTAGGAAACAGCAGGCAGTAACGAGTCCCCTGTCCTTTCACTGCTGCCTTCTGTGTAACCCTGGTTTTCCCTCATCTCACACCAGCACAGGGTAAACTCCTCCAACCCGTCACATCTGTCTTTGAAAGTGGCTTCTCAAGCAAGCGGAGAATCTCTCCTCTTTCTCTCTCAGCTCAGCGTCTTTCTCTTTCATAACATTACAATGAACCCAAAATCTGTTGTATGTATCTTTTCCACAATTTTATGAAAAATTCAAGCCAACTTTTACCCACCTGTGGTGTGTGATGCTAGGACAGAGACAGCGAGGTGGATGAAGCTTGTCAAGCCAATGACTGCATGTAGCTTCATGTTCCTTGTTTGTCCCTCTCCTTGGAGAGACATACAAACGAAAATTCAAGAGGTGAGAATAAAAAAAGCATGGCTGGATAGAGGGTGGCATTAGCAACAAAATGGGAAAGGACATTTTGTTCGTGTCACAACAGGATCTATTTTTAAGAGCTTGTTGTATGTTTCATGTCATAAAATCACTTCTGGGATTATTTTTTCTAAAAAAAAAAGTAAAAAATAATGCCCATGCCCACTGCAGAGAGTACAAAAATAGTGCACTCCAGCCACTCCAGACAGGATGTATGGAAAAAATCAGCATTAGTCCGAGGTAAGAACAAATAGAGGCAACTATCTGGTGACGCAGAATAAAGTGAGAGAAGAGCGGGATTTTGCTCAAGTAGCTTTAAAGAACCAGTAGCATTGGTAGGATTATTAGGGATGATAGAAGTGGTAATTTGACCTAGTAACTGCTCTAATTGGTGGCCATCCCTTTGAACATGAATATCCCGTTCAATATTTCCAATAACGCTTTTGGAAGCAAAACATATGTGTTCAGATCTCCTCTGGGCGGGGGGGAGACTTGTTTTTACTGCTGAGGCAGAGCAGGGATCAGACGCTATCAAGTGCTTTAAAAGCACGGTCTCTCTTCAGCTGGCAGGAGCATCACAAAATGATTGTGTTTTTTCTATGTACAACTCTAATTAAAGGTCTAGCTTTCAATTAGTCTCATTTTCCTGGCCTGTAATGTTACATGTCGGTCAGAACATTTTGTTTTAAACAGAAAGCTCTCCTGTAAGAGCCCAGCCAGTATACACACTGCTTTGACATGTTTTTAGTCATAGGTGAGGTGTGATTTTAAAAATGCGTATGGGAATGAGGCATGCAGGTCCTACTGAATTTCACTGTGAAGCAAGCATACAACCCACCTAGATTTCTTCAAAGCATATCAAAGGGAAAATGTAGTAACTGTGCTTCAAAATAATTTTCAAAGATGAGTGGTCAACTTTGCCAGAACACTTTCAGATTTAAAAAATATTTTAACATTGATATTTTCCAATTCCAGCATGATCTCCTCTTAAAGCCCCCCAAGCTAACACCAGTTACATTCAGCCTAGTGTCCGTACTGATCTTTCTCAAGTGTTCCACCTCTGTTAATGGGACATGAAATGTAGACCCGATGAACGCATCCAGCAGTCAAGTCCTGCTGATGACCAGACATCAGCTCTAACAATGAGCTAGTAAATTGTGTAAACGTGTCTGGGAGGGAGCCTTTCTCCTGATGAACATTATTCAGGCTCTCAGGTGTCAGAGTGACCTCATCTCCTTGTCTAGTCTTCTGCACCACCTCTCCTACAGGTTATCATCTCAACAGGAACCTGGTTCCCCCATGGGAAAACCTCTTTCCAAGCCTAATGAGGGAGATATACTTGATGAAATGATGACTCAGCAACTGGCAATGTGTGAGGGGGACTTTATTGCCTGCCTTTCCCAGGAGCCCCTCTGCCCTTAATTTCCTTTGCCTGACCCTTCCCTCCACTTCCCCCGGCCTCTGCTTTGGGCAGGTTATTTGACCAATGTGGGTTATCTATCTCCAGAATAATTTTTGAGCATCGTTACAGGAGAGGAACAGGTGACATGTACAAGCTATGTGGGCAAGATGCTGTAGCTGTCTTTCAGGTCAATTTGTAACGCTTTGAAAGATCACAGCCTAACTTCACTGACGTGGTGAAGTTCATTCTGAGGAATAAATTGAAATCCAAGCAGGGCTGATGTTTCTTGTCTTTTCTCTGCTGTTCAGTAAACTTTTGTAAGAAACATTATATTTCACAAAGTTAAATGACACAGTAACTGAGAAATATATCTTTATTATTAGAATGTTTATATTCTAAAAACGTTTATCTGGGGTTACAGTACAATCCAATTTCTTTCTAATTAACTAACCTGGCATTTGTTCAGCAAATAACTGTAACTTAGGCTTTGAAAAGTTTAAGAACATGCAATTTCTTTTACTCTCTTTCTCTTCCTCCCCCAAAAGGACAACTTACAGGCAAGATTTTGGTACAATAAATAATAAAATAAACATCTCATTTGTGAACTAGTAGTTGCACTTAACTTTGGTGACTAACAGAGTAGATAGACATTTAAAAATACAAATATCCTTTCAGTGTCAGGTGGATAAAGAAACAGATTAATATATTCTACTTCATTATCTTTCTAAAGTTCACCTTTATTATCTTCAAAAAGGGTCATTTTCTGAGGTTTGTAAAAGGATGTGGGAAGCAACAGAGAAAACTCAAGGATTTTTCTACTTTGTGGCTTGCCTACAAAAGTTGTAACACGATCTGACCCAAACCCATGCAACACAATTAATGACTCCTTTTCACCACACACAATGCCTAGCATAAGGCCAAGTGTGGCCTTGTGATGTAGTTAAATAAATATTAAAATGTTATTAAAACCTAAATACCTGAATTGGTTTTACACTGTGACTTTCTACTGAAACAGTGTTGAGAAACATTAAACATGTATCTGATCGTTCCATATATACTACTTAAAATAAAAGTGAGGAATATTACTCTTTCTTCACTCCGCTACGGTCTGGGAGCTCTGTACACTGACAAATGTATGACATCTGTAGTTACCTGATCCTAGCTGACTGATCGGTCATCTTCTGCTTTAAAAATATTGCAACTCAGGTGCTTATTGCAGCAGTAATCATAGTGATACACTGTCTTTTAATACTCAGTTCTGCTTACAGTCATAGTTATAAAAAATGAAAAACATCTTTCACAAATCTTTGTACACATACTGTAAAAATTACCTTCCACAAAAACAATTTACATCTGAGCATTTAAAAAATAAATCACACAGACTTGTCTCACCTATCCTTTCTTTTTCTTGAGAAAACAAATCTCATCAGTAACATCTACAGGATGTTCATATCTGTAAACATATCATGAGGATTCATGTTACCAAAAAACTGTACACACAAATAATCATCTTGGTAAATACTGATAAGTAAGGATCCTTTTAATTGGCACAAACCCAACGTAAACACACGCATTCCCATCCTGCAATCATCTCTAAGCTCCTTGCTTTTGGGTTTTTAGTTGAAATTCAGGGATCTCTCAGCCCTGTAAAGATTTTTCAGAGGCAAAAATGTGAAGCATTCTGTTTACGACCACAGCCATTTTAGGCCTCTCATGCCTAAAACCAAGCACAGGCATTGAACGTGGTGCCATGCAATGCAATGCGCTGCTTCAGCCTTTCCCTTGCTGCTCCTCAGCTGGTACCAACCCGCTGCTGGCACTTGGTACCGCAATTTCTCCTCGTGCGCAATGCGGTCCGCGCTTGTCCGGGCTGCGGGACCAGCTCCTGGTCTCCTCGCTAAGTGACACCAGAGGCTGGTAGGTATACCAAAACCATAAAGCTTCTGGAATTTGAAAGCTGTGCTTGAGACATCGGAGCAGCCCAGACTTGTACCAACAGACAATGTGGCTGCTGGCAGGATCAAGCGGTTTAACGTATGTAATAAAATGCGGAAATGCCCGGCTGGGCTTATGGCAGAAAACCCAGGGTAGCAATTTTCTGCTGTAAACAGCCTTCAAGAAACTCACGTAGACTTTTTGCATCTAAGTATGTCTGTGCAGGTAACAGTTAACCATTCACCTTATACCTACCTAAGCCGAAAGATTGAGTATTTAGGTGCCGATTAAATGGATTCTTCTGAACATCAGCAACAGCACAGATGGAAAATAAATTACCAAGCCACATGCTGCCAGTAAAATAATTAAATGTACAGCCACAGTACTGCCCAGCAAGATAACTGCAGTCATTTAAAATAAGCTCAATAAATAAATAAATAAATAAATAGAAAAACCTTCATGTAAACTGAATAGAATATCACTTCTCTTATAGCGCCCAAAGAGGGAACGGCATTACTAAATAATATGAATTTTCCATACTGTATGTATTTCTATATATTACATCTGATATGTTTTGGCATGGCCAGATGGATAGGAAAAAGTAGGATGATTAACTTCATTCACTACTTGTTCTGTTGAAGCCAAGCTCCTGCGTTACTATATACTGCTAACCACTCCTATAGCGGTTTGGCCTTTTTCCCCATCTTGGATTTTGCGCTCACTTTCCTGGCAGAGCAGACTGGTTCACCTTTCTTTTGTGCTCTCCATATTTCTCTTGAGCAATCAATAGGTTCATAGAAGCATTTCACTGGCTGCAAGCTGTTTTTTTCATCCTTTGCTTTTTTCAACAAGATTCTTCCTTTTTGAAAGGAATGAGGCTTTGCGTCAGGGATGTTATATGACGCGTGTTGACTTCCTCGGCTCCTGAAATTAATAACAGTGATTATTAATACCTATTATTCAATCTTGCAAAGTGGAAGGTCCCCAAAATGTCCCAAACCCACACATTTTTGAAGACAGAAATAGCCTTGTTTTACACGACCAAACTGAAAGTTAAAAACAGAGTTGCATGATGAATTACATCTCTCAATACCCAGAAGCATCCCTCACTGTAAGAACCCCTACATGTGTCACTGGTGGACTTTTCATGCATGTTCATCTACACTTTTACTCAGATAGCATTCTGCTGATTTTGGAGCGCTGAGACCTTACTGAGGTCTGTATTCCCGTAACTTGGTCATCTACAGGGATTTTAAAGATGTACATGTTCATGGCAACCTTCTGCAAAGAATGAATATCCCACAGTCTTTGGAAGACCACACAGCACCAATAACAGTGGAAAGTGAGTGCAGGAACTGTAGGACCTTCTTGGTGGGATCTCAGTGCTGCCTTGGACTGTGGCTACTACTAACGGCTCAGGAAACTCCACGCTCTGCTTTTGTGCTGGCCACCCACCTAGGGAAACTTTAGCTTTTCTTTTAGGCTTTGATTTGAAATGGGAGAAGATGAAAGGGGAGTACAGAAATTGGTAGGAAGAAGGGTACAAAAGCTTAAAGGCCAAAGTTTCCATGTTGTCTCTGTGACAGTTCAGGCCCAGCAGGATTTGCTGAAATCGGTGAGCTCAGGTGGAGTGACAGTGCAGTGCCTGGTGCTGAACCATGCACTCTGCTCTGAAATTTTACAGCGAAACTGCAGTTCCACAGTTTAGCTAAGTAAGATTATTACAGTCCCTTTTAACATAATCTTGAAATGTTTTACAGCAGATACATGTAGTGTAACAGCAGCACTATGAACGTAAGGCACCAGCTCATGTCTGCCCAGCTACAGTGACTGAAGTGAAGAACAGATGTGCTCATGTACGCGTCGATCTCTTCCCATAGAGCTATTTTCCATAGCTCGTTATTTCTGGAAACCATGTATCTGTAGTATTACTTCTCCTGGGAGTTACACAATCTTGCACACTTGACAAAGCCAATTTTGGAAAAAAGCTGTGGTTGTTCAAGTGCGTACAGTGCAAGCCCTGTCCTGCTCTTTAAAAGGCCAGAAGGGTGTCACAAAAGCCTCTGTATTTGTTGGTGGGATGCAGTGAGGGCCAGTCAACAGCACAGGAACCAAGCCATACCTACAGAACCTTTTCACTGGTTGGCAGCTTTGCCAACCAGACTTCACTATGGGGAAGTTTTGGGGAGAAAAGGCTGTGCAGGTCCAAGCTGGAGCTTGCAGATGCTGTGCCATGCTGTCCTGGTGCACACTTGGGCTCTGACCACTTACCAGGGGTTAGAAATGATTTGTGTAAACGCACAAGTGTTGGCTGCCCAGTTCTTGGGCACTGTTTGTTACAGTCCATTACTTAAGTTGTTGTTAAAAGATGTAGTGCTCTGTTTTTCTCAGATGTTGTTATAGTGAAAAAGTTACATAATTTATTCCCAAAGCACACCCAGGTGTGACTGCAGGTGCTGTTAGTCACTTCTCTGCCACACCGAATGATGCTTTTCAAACCACAAGGTGGTTAAGGTTAATAAGATCACAGGGGATTGCCTAAAAGAGCTAAACTGTATGTAAATTGAATGAGTTTATGGTAGAGAAGATGGATGTTTGTACCTAATTCACAGTCAGGGTAAGAAGGTATGTAAGACAGATGAAGATGCAAGTCATTGCACGTGAAATGCAATGCTGCCAGCTCCAGATGTGGGAAATGGGTCTTTTTGCTGAAAGCAGCAGCTCCCTGATACAAATGACTGTGAGAGTCTGAACTTCTACTCAAACACACCCCTCATCTGTTGCATTATGGAGAAAGACTGAAATAATGTGACTAAATGCACCCCACTGCCACAGGCACTTAAGAACAATCCTATTCTTGCTGCTTTTCAAAAACATCGGGTATTTTTCAAGACAGGTCTCATGATTTCAGGAGACCTAATTCTTAGCTTCTTCACAGTGGAGGCTGGCATTTAAAGTCCACTTAGGCACAGATGTGCAGGCAAGTCTCAGTGCCTTTGAGAAACGGCTAGTGAGCATCAGCAAAGGTCTGCCATGCCCTCAATGGGGCATTTCCTGAAAACAGCCAGGAGAAACTGGAGAAAAGGAACCGGGAAGCAAGGCAGAGGCCTTGGAGCAAGAGGGCTTGCAAGTCCAGCCACTGATCCCAGACAATGCAAGCCATCAGTGGCCCCAAACCCCCCGAGACTACACTGAACTTTCTGGCTGGCTAGTAACACTTCCCAATTTTTTAAACTGGTACACAGCATTAAAAGTTCATTTTATGTACTGAGCTGAGTTAGAACTCTTAAAAAAACAGCTGGTGTGGGGAATGCAAATACGGGATTCATCCACAGAACAGGCAGAGCAAAATAAAACCTTTTTACCCCTCTGAGCATCCTCTCTTCTATCCTCTCTGCTTTGCAGGACACGTTGGAATATTTTAAATCTGGTAACTCCAAATAACGGCTACTACTAAATTCTAGTTTTGACAGTGTCTTTTGAAAGGAGAAGTATATCAGTAGTTGAACAGAAACCTTTAAACAATTTTATACATGTCTTTGAACTCCCACTAGTTGTTAGCAATTACTGGGTTTTACCAAACTGCATTATATTTAGACCAAAGACTTGTCAGTGGAAGACTCATCTCACGAGTCACTGAATTCACTGGTTATATTTTAATTCTCTTTTCCTTGATTCCAACCATATTAAGACATCTAGCAGCCTGAAACGTGTATAGAGTCAACTCAAAGTCTACTTTGGACAATCAAGTTTTTCCAGAATCTCAAATCAGTAGAGGGGGAGGGAAGGGGAGAGGAAACTATAAAAGCTAGAAAAATAAAGAGTAGGAAGAAAAAAGCTAAAGCCCCATGCTGTTAATTATTAATGCAAACACTGCTTATCAGCAAAAGGGTACTTGGCCAGCTGCCTGCTAGGACAAAGATATCTGAAAACCAAAAACAACCCGAAGAGCAAAAAGCCCTCCCCACCGCCCCAACCCAGCAGGATATATATTGTATTTTCAGCTTATTTTCTGGCACATCCATCTGTTCATGTGTCTCTCAGTCTTCCAGTAATTCTTGAACCTCTTGGTCAAACACAAACAAATCTGGCAGGGACACAGAAGTCCCAGACCTATGGTGATGCAACAAATTTCATGGCAATCGGATAAAGACCCAAACTCGTTCCTCACTAAGAAAGGTTGCCCTGAGGGAGGATGCACTGCCTGACCGTCACTCGGCCAAGCAGCACGCGTGATGCTCCAAACCAGCCGCTGGCACTCATGACCAAGCCACAAAGACATGGGAAACGGGCCCCAATTAGTTCTGCTGCTCCCAGGACAGCTGCTTGAGTAACCTGAGATGTTGTTAGGGCTCGTGCTTTGTCAGGGCACTTGTTTGCTTACATGTGATTTTTAAGTCAACAGTGTTACTGTCAGTTAGGAAATGACAACTGTCTTTCTCCCGCCTACAGAATGTTAAAGGTATTTTCAGCTCCAACCTGGCCTGCATTTGCTTGAAGAGATTGAACTACTGCAGCTTTGCAACAGGCTATTATAGTCACCAGGAAGGAGTCATTCATTTAACAGAAAATTATTCTTTTTCTTTTAAGCATATCTGATTTTAGCTTTGATTTAGCAGAAATCTGTTTTTCTCCATTACACAACATAAATGTAGATCATACTCAGGTACAGAACCTGATCCAAACCCAACCTGATTCAGGCTTTCGGATAAGGTGAAATGCAAAAGCAGAAATGTAACATGACAAGTTAATTTAAGTAAGGGAAAAATAACAAGATATACATACAGGCATCTGGGTTTCTTATTTAATGAAATGTCTGTAAACTGCAAAGAAAACAGAAACAGGTTATTAATATTACATTATCAAGTAATTAAAGTACAAGGACAACAAGTAATTAAAGTACAAGGACAAAATATATAGTCTTAAAAACCATATTTCCATTCTCACCTGCTGTTAAAACTAGAAGAAAAAAAACCTTCTACAGATTATTATTCCTCCAACTCATTATATCTGTTTTTAAAATTTGTAATGTGTGAGTTGTTAGTGGTTGGATTTTTTCCCCGTTATTTTTACCATAACTATAATCAAAGTATCTTGCTAAAGAAGTGTGGGCTGGACAGAGATCTTTCACATTAAATTAAACAGTATGGATACAATGAGAAGTAATTATTGTGTTCAAGGTAATTAATAAGGGACAGTGCTTGAATAAGCTGTATTAAATTAACTTTCTCTCAGAGCCTTTAATTTTGCAGTGATACATCTCCTTTACACAAGTGGCTAGGAAACTCCAGCTACAAGCCCTTGGCTCTGTCTACAGCAGCACTGAAGGGTGGAGGGCAAGAACGCAAGCGTTTCTCTCCCTTCCCACCCGAAATCCTCAGACCAGCTAGGGACCATCCTCAGTGCCAGCACAACTTTGCATGACTTCATTTTTTACAACAGTTTGGTTCACAGCACGGAAACACTTTGTCTAGTCCCTCTTTTAGTTGGGGTCAGGAAAGGAGGTGTTCAATGTCAGCTCAGCTTAAATCAGTCTGGGTACTGAATCGGTTCTTTGTACTGATCTCCCATCAGTGCTACTGAGCCTTTGAATATCATTTAATGAAGTCACTGAGCCAAGCAAGTCAGATCTGGCATCTGAAAATGATTATGTTCTTGTAAATGTTCCCTCTGTCCCTGGTATTGTCCACAGTTTGCAGAGGGATGTTTGCCCAGCCTAACTTTGCTTGTCATCTGTCTTGGCTGGAGTCTGGAGCCATCTCATGGTGTGCTTTTCTGTAATTACCTCCTGAAGGTCAGGCTGGTCAATATTTGGATGGCTGACCTTAGAGGAACGCTGAAGTCACTCAAAAAGCAGGGCAGCTGCCTCAAAAATTAGTGCCTTTCCCAAGGGACACTGCTGAGCCCAGTAAATGCATCAAGAGCAGGGGAGATGATTTAATACTGAGGCCCATCTTTATAGTCCCCCTCAATGTTCTCACAGACACTGAGATGTCCTGCACTAGATTTCAGCACATTTACATTTATTCAGGTCTTAACTAAAGCTCTTCATCTTCCCATTGGCTACGGGAACGTCTACTTTCCACTACAGCATACCTGTTCACTGCTGTGCATGATCAAATGCCTTTCCTCTCACATCCTAGGATGAGCAGTTACTTAGCATGGGTGGCATGGGGAATTCATTTAAACTGAAACATTCTTTGGAAGTCATGTGGCTAAAACTTGCCAATGAGTTTAAGTATTAATAATGAGGGCTTTTAAAGAAATAACGTATTTTAAAAACCAATGTTCACACAGCTTTGGTTTCTAATCCATGGGAGACAGGCCTGTGGGAATCTATTCACCATTTCTAAGAGTCCTGTGATAGGTAACCACAGAAAGCAAGCCGATTTGCCAGCAGGCTGACATGTCCTCTGTAAGGATCCACATCTTTCCTGGAAATCTTTAGACATCTCCAAAAAACTGCCAAGTCACGAAGTGACATTAAGGAAAGTGTTGCAAAGGTAACAGCAGCAATAGCCAAAGCCAGGAAAAAAAGTTAAGCATCTGGCAAATAGTTCATTATTCTCTGCTCTCCCTTTCCCATCTTTGGCTATTGCTGCTCTTACATCCTCTGCTCCTTTAACTCACGTGAAGTGGTAGTTTAAAACATAGATAAAACGCATCTAAAGGAACTCTTTACAAATCCAGATCTGTCTGGACTAGCAATTAGCCTGACCCGCCGAGCCCACCCATATTCAAACTCCAGTACTTTCCCTCCGCTGATTGGTGACAATGAAGGGAAGGACTTTGCTGGCTTACCACGTGCTCGCTGACGTCGGTGTGGTTGCACACCATCTGCTGATTTTGGTAATATTCTAGCTGCCTTTCTGCCAGATCCACGCGCTGCAACAGGTTCTCAATGAAGTGCTGGAGCCTGACTTTTCCCCGCACTTCTTTTTCTGCTGCTTCTTCCAGGAAGTGGGTGAAAGTAATAACTTCTCTGCAAGACAGAAACATTGCAAAGAGGCCACATATAAATAATGGGAAGGGCCCTGGTCTCACTGCTGTCAAAAAATTACTGATGCTTCTCCTGTTTTTCATGGCAATAGCCCATGGTGGCTAACTACCGTCCTTCACCTCTGTTAACAGATTTCAACCTTTTTGTGGACACAGTGAATATGTGGAAATCTGAATGCTGTATTTAAGTTCACGGGCAGCTGGTTTGGAGTTTTTTATCACTTTATTAAGTCTCTTGGAAATAGTCCTTAGTGGTCCATAGAGTAGAAATGTCATTAAGCATCACCTCTCAAGGTATCTGGAGACAACGACAGCCACTTTCTCTTTTTTTACTTACCCATGTCAATATCAGCCCTGAAACATGAAGAGAAATGGATGAACCCTCAAATTAATCTTCCTGGTTCATCATAATCTTACAGTGGTAGTTTAATGTTGCTACTGGGGTAGCTCCTAACTTAAAAGAGCTACTGTGGCCATTAAACTTCATTTTGGCTGCAATCCTGCAAGTACGTCAAAGTGCAGTGTTATGATCTGGAGCTAGTGGGAGCGCAGGGGATTAACAGATAACCTACAGATTTTAGACCAAGGAGTATGTGTGTGGAAAGAGCAAGTTTTACGTCAGGAGTTTAGAAATGTTTCTTGCCTGGTAACACAACTGGAAGAAACAGACAGCACCACTGACTGTGAAAGGTCCCAGCGCTGTACTGAAACACAGCTCATTTTGAGGTGCTCTGCATACTATCAGCTTACTATCAGTAATCAGGCCACCATGTGGACCTCTGATAGCAGAGGAGTTTCTGGGTGGGAGAATTTTGGTTACAGAGTGAAGCACGTACTACGAAAAATGGCAAATCTGAGCATGTAGAACTTCCCCAGTTAATACGTGCTTGGATAAACAGTTCTTGCTCTGCCAATGAAACCATGTTAATTTTTGCTTTGTACAAATCTGAGGAGGTGGGAGTTGGGGGAACCAACGTTTGCCAAATGAGAAAGGGCATGATTGCTTGGTAGAAATACATTGCCTGAGGAAAAAGCATTTTAAGCAGAAACTAGGAAACAGTTTGTAGCAGAAATAACCTTTCAAAGCTTAGCTTCTTTATAACAAATCCAAAGTTTCTCTGCATTGCGTTGTTTTAACCCAGTATAGCTGTTTTAACAGTGAGCTGTTCTGCGCTAAGAAGAGTTGGGCACAAGCGGTCAGCTACAGAAATTCGCCACCTAAGATTCAGGCTGCGTCTGCCTGCTGTACACCACAACAGAGCACAGCAAGACGCTGTTTGCATGGCTGATCTAATGGCAGGAATGAGGTAAAAACAAGCACGTATTGTCTGGACCAAGAACATCGATGAATGTTAGTACATATTAACTCACCCACAAAATCTGTCTTAAGAAACAGAGAGGTACCCTGTCTGTTAAACTCAGCTAATCCATTCCATCTCAAGGCTCTGTACAGTTTCTGTGATTATTAGCTTGCTCAGAGCAACCTGGTAATAAAAAGCCACTGAGGGATACTCAGGAAGAAGCCAATCTAAACTCATTAAGGACAATTTTAGGGCTTTATTCTCACCACACTTAGAGCACTGTAACTTCTTTGATTTCATGTTGCCTCTCTGGTTTTGTGTTAGCGCAGGAGCAACCTGAAGCCCTTGGCACTCCGTCAGGGTCCTCTTTTACAGTGGACAGGAAACTCAAAAGGACAGAAACTCAGCAGGTGGGCTCCAAATCCTTTACCCTCTGGGTAAGGAAGGAGAACCGTGCGTAGCCTGCCAGGCCACTGGGCAGAGCTGGGAGCTGCCAGCCCAGGACACCACGAGGACATCCCTCCCGGGGCCGCAGTCAGCTTTGGTGTTTCGCTGCAGTGGGAGGCCACAGACATCAAGTACCTGGCATATGTTTTTAAAAGGGTGATAGTTTCAATAATTAACATTTGTAATTGTGTCAGCAAAGGTAATTCATTAATAGCCTGTTCCATGGCAAGAAAAGATCACCCACAAATTTTCCTTTCCTACAAAGATCTCATTAGTGAGTTGTGCCATAAGAGGGACAACGGCAAAGCAGATGTTTTTCTGGAAGACTTAGATGATTAATAGGAGAACAGACACATAATGTCAATAAATTCCCTAGTATTTTCCTTGCATCCTACATGCCATTATTTGTAGGAACTGTTATTAGCAGCAGTAGTAGTATTTCCATCCTTTTTCTCTGTTTATTTAGCTGCCTTTGTACAGCCTATGAACCTGCTTTTACTAATTTCTATCTAAAAATTTTCCTCTGGCTGAAATGGTACCAGCACTGTGTAAATTCCCTTTAGAAAGACAGGGGCCAGAATATACCCACCCACTAGATCTCGGTCACACGCCCTGTCCTGGTAAGCAGCACTTCTGTCAGTTCAGCTACTTTCTTTGTTTCCACTTCATTCTCATCTCTCAGAAAAACAACATCAAGCCCCGAGGAGTGACTGCTAATCAGTCTCTCTACTTGCTCCAACACCTTTTCCTCAGAGAGCTCGCTCCGTGCCACAGCTATGCCTTGGTTACCTGAAGGGAGTTCCCAGAAGAATTTTTACCCTCTTCCCACCAGGGACAATAGCGAAATGGTTCAAAGAACTTGTGTAGCTTCCTGCAGCCACTGTTTATCTGTTTAATTGCCTTTCTTGTCTCTTGTCGTTTACTCAGAGTTTTTTGTAGCCATACTGATGACCTTCTCCCTTTGATTCTATTTCTAGATATCTGTGATCATTTTTTGCTTATGTTCTTTCTTTTACTCTCCATTTATTTCTCCAGGCCTCTGCCAAGTTTTTTGGGATTATGTGATACAATTTCCATCTTCTACTCTCCGCTCTTATGCTTGTGGAAAGATGGATGTTCACAGAGGTCAGATGCTGCTCCTCATAAAGTCAGAGGGAAGCTGAGCTCGTGAATATTGTGGGGCCCACTTGGTAGAGGCATAAACCAGAGCACAGCAGCATAGGCCCGCTGGGCTCTGTGTCTTGACAGAACAGCCTCGTCAGGAGTGCTCACCTTAAACAGGAATCGTTCACTGAAGCCTGGCTCAGACTTGAAACATTTCCCTTTCTAATGAGAGGTCTCTGCGCCCACTATTCTACACCTGGAGCACTGCTGCTATATTGAAAAAAGTTTATGTAGAACTATTAATTTCCCTTGTGAACCCCTTTGCTCTCAGCATCATCCGTTTCCCACTCTGCTCTGCTCCTCTGTTTGCTCTCTGCCTGCCAGCCTGCAGCCTCCTGCCCCTTTTCACTCGGCTGCACCCTGGCACTCACTGTAGCACTGTAAGCTCTAGATCCTGCCACTAAATTTTCTAGGTGGAGTAGTTCATACTCAGTGCAGCTCAGATCTCTGTAAATTTCTGTAATGGACAGCAAAGTGATCTCACCTGTTTCCTTACAGTTTACTATACTAATATAAACATAGGTTGTACAGCAAGACATTTTGTTAAAGGGCTGTGACTGGGCAGCAGAGAGAAAGGTGGGTTTCTTGCTTTGTCTTGGGTGCTTGTCAGATAAAACCCTTCAGGAGGAGGGATCACTGCTGCTGCCCAGAGAGCAGAGGGCACATCAAACTGCCAGCAGCTTGTGGTGACAGGGTGAGGCAAGGGAGAGGGAAAGACAAGGGCGATGCAACTTGGGAGGTGTCTAAGAGGAGCAGTACGCGTCTGTACTGTCAGACTGCTGGAGAAGAGCTCTTCCCAGAGCCAAATAAATTTTCTGGGGGAAATTTATTGCAGTGTAGCACACAACTCAGAGGTGCTCAGCTGAAAAAACAAGTGTAGAGGGAAGGAATCACCGTAGGCAAGAAACATTTCCTGCCAAAGCTTTTATTTTAATCTGACTCTGCGAGGGAGTTAACCTGTTATAGTTAACCAGACTTGATGTTTTGCATTCTAACTGCAGCCTAGCTGCCCTCAGAGCAAAACTGCAGATAGCCTGCCTTGAAACTTACCCTGAAACCTTCTTTATGGAGGCTGTTGTCATGAAACAACACGAGATATGGTAAACAAAGTTTTAAGTCATAGACTGACTAGGCAATATTTATTCTTCTGCCTTTACCACTAGATTATACAGTGCTCCTTGCAGGACTAGTGAGCTGCAGTTTACTGGAGTGGTTGCTGGCATGCAGACCCTGCAGATACCTTTAGCATTTGTACAGCTTTCAGCAGCTAAGCATGTGACACACTGAGTAGATACAGAGTTTGGGACAGCTCCAGCTCCTTAACAACTGACAAGAAGAACTAATGATTTCTCACATTGCAACCGAGCCCTCCTACAGAGGCATAATACTGATCCCAGGACTATTTACAGCAACTATGACACCTGCAACTGCTCTGTAGGTGGGGACAAGCATGAGGCTCTACGGAGATTCTGCACCCAAGTATCAAATCCCTTTAGAGAACTGCATTTCTAATAACCCTGCCCAAAATCACCAGAAAAACAAACACTCGTATTATTTTACCTGAAGATGGGAAAATTCCTACTACAGTAAGTCGTAAAGTGATTTACTTGTGAAAACTTCACAAGTGATTTACTTCTGAAAATATTTAAAATATGTACGTTTATTAAGTATTAACATCACTGACCTCACCCATCATCTCACTGGTGTTATTGCCTGAAGGCTGCTATCTGTTATTCATTAGGTTGTGGTTTCACATTCCTACACCACTGTTAGCACATTCAATCTAAGAGGTTCACACCTCCTCCCCTCAGAAAGTTATTGTCCTACCAGTTGCGCCCATTCAGTGGGCTGTGCTCTAGGTCCGAGCCCTGAACTTACTGGGCTGACACTGTGAAGATTAAAATGCTTTATTTCAGAGCCATTCTGTGGGATAATCATGCTACGCTTGAACCAATGCAGCTGGCAGGGAGTAATGTCTCTTCTCTAGTGGGAAGATGAAAGGAAACGGGGAAGGGGGAGTGGGACCACCTGAAACTGAGGGTGGAAGAACAACAGGTAGTTGTGGTCGTATTCTACTTAGAGCAAAATCAAAACTGTTTTGTTGTACAACTAAAATGCGTATTTTAATGAAAGCTGTTGTTTTAAAGCATAAATTGCAGTGATCTCTAAAAGCCAACTCATAATC